ATCATCTCCCCGTAGTCAGTCGTCTCAATTGTCATCTCTTCGTTGATGTCTCTCTTTCGCCCCATCAATTATGGCAATCGATTCAAAGTTGAAAACTTGGTTGGTTGTAATAAATAAAAACCGTTAATAATGTGTCGGATGGTTGGTTGGCTGATTTGACTGACAGATTGGTGCAGCAGATGTTGTTACTCGATGAATATCTTTGACGGAGAGTATATGAGTGAGTGAGTGTGAGAGAGAGAGCGCGCAAAAATATAACATTTCCATGCGTTACATCAGATTTGTTTGAATACAATCGAGGAAAGAAATCCACACCAATGGCAATATTAAAAACTCAAATATTATGTGATTGAAAGATCACAGCTGTGTTGGAAATTATAGTTGAAGATAAAGGAAAGGAGGTGATATAGAACATGCTAGAAAAATGTTTATGTTTTTGCACTTTTGTGAATGGTGGAAATAGTAAAATAGGAAATTCTTAAAATCTGAAAAATTCCATTCCGAGTGTGGCACGTAAAAGAAATTGGTATAAACGATTTCAAAACTTTTACCAAATTAAACACAATTCGGGATTTTATTGGGAAATATTGGAAAATTATATATTTGTTTCGAGAAGAGCTAGAATCGAGCACCTGTACTACTGCGGGCAACAAAAGCAATTGTGTATACTCTATATGTCTATATCACTCAAAAAGGAGGGAGTATGGTTCGCTCGTCTTCGAGTGGGAGTAAAATTCGCTGATTCTACTCTTGCCGAGCGCTCTTTTTGTTAGTTTGCCATAACGCTATTTCTCAACTCTAAGCTATATCGTAAATCTCTACCAACTTATATTTTCATGTGTTCCCCTCTTGATCTTTCATCACCAGTCCACAACAACATCAAAACATGATTGTTACGCAGGATGATGTTTTGATTGATTGTTAAAAACAATCTGCTGAGCGCGAATCAATGCTCAGACGAAACGGTGAAAGCTAGAATATTGAAATTTTGCACGTGGGTCAGTCTTGGACCTTAGGCGTGTGATTAATCTGGGATTATAGCAAGTCGTACTAAAAGGGAAAAAAAAAAGAACTAAAAACTGATAAAGGGAATGTATTGGACAAACTAGACCTCTGAAATTTTGAATGGGAATCGCTGATGAAGTGCAGGATAGATATACCAAAGAGTTTATGAAAATTCGAACTTAAAGGTTACGAAAATTATGAAAATGGTACTGAATTTCTAAAATGGCACAGTTCGGTATTATGTGAACTGATAGAGCTCAAAACTTGAAATTTGGTATAAGCATCAGGGTAAGTTTGATTTATAGAGGTATTGTATTCTAAGGGTGCGACCTGTAATAAATGTTGATATCTATGTTTGAGATATGGAGGAGATATTTATACGAAAAGTACTAAATGGTACTAAATTTGATATTGGGTGAAGGGATAGGGCAGGAATCCTGAAATTTTATATCGAAGCGTCTGTTGGTATCTGGAATTGAGATAAGGAGGCCGTTTTGGAAAAGTGTAACATAATTGTACGAAATGTTTTAAATAGTACCAAATTTGGTATTGATTGAATGTACATGTACGTGAGTTACCCGATATATAGTAGACCTAACTATTCCATTTTTGTACTTTAATACATATATAAATATTTATATGGACAAGAAAATCGAATATTTATATCCAATTTTATGTGAAATCATAAATTCCTTATTCGTCTTATGTTTCTGGTTAAAAGAGAAATATTTGGATATAGCAGGTTGTAAAGAATCGCTGATTTGTTTCGCAAGTTATGACAGATAAAAGTATAGAAAATTGTGAACCTTTAGGGTGAGGTACCCGAAGGGGTTGGCAGATGTGTATCATCTTCACAACAGATCTTGTGTTTGCAAAAATGTTTGTGTGTGTGAAATTTGAAGAGAGCTGGATGCCTATTCCGCTTTCTTTAAGCTTTTTGTTTTTCAAAATTTTGAACCCTTTGTGGGGGAGGTACCAGAAGAAATGGTCCGATCTCTACCATCTTTATAACAGATCTATCTATAAAATATATTGAGATGTGCCAAGTCTGAATGGAATCGGATGTTAATTTCGCGTTTTAGGAGCTTCTTGGATATTAAAAATTTTGACCCTTTGTGGGGAAGGCCCCAGAAGGAGTTGACCGATATATCCCATCTTCACAGCAGATCTTGCGTTAGCAAAAATAATGCCATGTGAGAAGAGAAGATTTTGAAGAGAACCGGATGATTATTTCCGATTTTATGAGCGTTTTGGTTATTCAAAATTTTGACCCATTGTGGGGGAGGTACCAGAAGGAGAGGACCGATATATTTCATCTTCACATCAGACCTTGGCTTAATAAAAATATTGAGATGTGTGTAATTTGAAGAGAATCGGATGCATATTACGGATTTTATGATCGTTTTGGTTACTCAAAACTTTGATCCTTTGTGGGGGAGGTACCAGAAGGAATGATCGAATCTGTACCATCTTTATAAGAGATCTTGTGTTGATGAAAATATTGAGACGTACTAAGTCTGAATGAAATCGAATGTTAATTTCGCGTTTTTTGAGTTTCATGAATATTCAAAATTTTTGCCCTTTGGGGGGAGGTACCAGAAGGAGTGCACATATATATACCATCTTCACACCATAGCTTGGGTTAATAAAAATGTTGTGATGTTTGTAATTTGAAGACAATTGGACTCTTGCATCACATTTTATATGAGTTATGATTATTTAAAATTTTGAACCCTTGTTGGGGAGATACTTGATAGAGTGAACGGATATTGTCCATTTTCGCACCTGACCTAGCACTGATTCAAATATTAGGATTTGCAAAGTTGAAGCAAAATTGGATTATCCTTTCTCATTCTGTGCAAAATATTTTTCTTGAAAATTTCGATCTTTTGTGGGAGATGTACCAGAAGGAGTAGACCGATATTGCCCACCTCCGAACTCGATCTAAGTTTGATAATAATATTACGATGCATCATGTTTAGATCAAATCGGATACTCCATTCGAGAATTATCGTGCGCACTAGCCAGACAAACGGACGGACGAACATCACTTGATCGACTCCAAATGTCCTGAAACGGATTTGTTCCAAATTGACCTAGGGTCTCAAACCGTTATTGCGATGAGTTACGTTTTGGCCGTATCAAATGATATATACTCTCTCTAGCCATATGGCTGAGGATGACGACACACAGGCGTCGGTCGTTCATCGAAATGGAAAACTTAGTAAGTTGTTTTCAATAAGTCAAGATTGGAAGGAACCACGGCATATTCGGCCCAGAACCAAATGAATAACTTATCAACTAAAAAACAAGTAAAAAAGCTGTAAGTTCGGCTGGGCCGATCTTTGATTACCCTCCACCATTTTGTACAAATTGGGCAATTTTCAAAAAAAATAAAATCCCTTAAAAATTCTGTTAAAATCTTAAAAATACCGACTGTAGCCGTATATTAGGGTCTGTACGACGACGTGGACCTGCATAGGCAACTTTAGTCACAAGCTATTACAATATTCAAATGCGAAACTTGAAAAAAAAAATTGTTTATAATGTAGCTAAAATCATCCAAGTTCTGAATATAGGGAGGAACCATGGGAGTTGTAAAACGTGGACCTATACAGACAATTTTTTGTCATAGGCTGTAGTATCCATTACGAACTTCAAATGCGAAATTTGAAATAATTCCGGTAAATAATGCCGCTAAAATCATCAGAATACCAAATATCGGGAGGTACCATTATGTGGGGGCTATACGAAGAAGTGGACCTACATGGCCCATTTTCAATACCAAAAGTCCTGCAGACATAATACATATTTGAGTAAAATGTTATCAACCTACTTCATTTCGTTCGGAAGCTAGAGTGATTCCCACAGACGGATAGACGGACGGACATTGAGAAATCGACATAGAATTTTATGCTGATCAAGAATATATATACTTTGTGGGGTCTAAAATGTATATTTCGAGGTGTTACAAACGGAATGACAAACTTAATATACCCTCCATACTATGGTGGAGGGTATAAATATTACAATAGAGTTGACAGTTTTGTGATTTGATGTTGAATCTCCATATTGGAAAATGTCCCACGTTGACGTCTATTGAGTTTCTACAAAGTATTGAAAAGTATGTTTCTAGTTCTATCTGCTTTGAAGAGGAAGTAACTCTAACTCACAACCTGTTACAGATTAATGTGATTTAAATATTTTCTTTTCGATTAACTTCTTAACTTGTTTTATTCGCTTGAACAAGAAGAAGAAGAAAACTATGGGAAGTGTAATTTATTCAAACGCTTTTAACTCTCTAACGATTTGTGGCGGAGGAGGGAGGGGGGGGGGGGGGGGGAAATGGGGTTCCTATGTAAATTTCAAATGATTAAATTATAAACAGGTATTGGCAGACGGACAGTAATTCTTATCACACCAATCAAATTGGAAATTTGGAAGATAAAACGCGATGTGTACGCACACACACACACACCCCCCTCTCGCCGATGAATAAAAATTTATTCTAATTCTTCTTGGTCTTCCATTTTTCTTTTTTAATTTTTTTATGAAAATTAATTTATTCAAATTTTTGGTATTTTTTCATTCCCCGCTGTTGTTGTTGTCAACAAAGGCCAAAGAGGCGAGGGGGAGGGGGGGGAGCAAAGCAAACATAAGCAAAGAAAGTTATTTACCATAATAATGTGTCGTCGTCGTAGACGTTGGTTGGAAGCGTTGACTGACTGGCTATTCCGCTGGTCATTCAGACTAGCAGCACCACCTGATCACAGAGCTTTACAATGACGATGAGCGTTGTCGACGACGATCTTGGGAAGGTTTTTTATTTTTTTTGAAATGCTTTAATGGAATGGTGGAGTTGACGCTGGCTGTGCCGCTGTCATGCTGGCTGGCGTCCCGACTATGTGAATTTTGTTATGGCGTTTAGTTGGTTAACGTTTTTGTAAATGAAATTTTGTTGTCAGTTGCATTTTAAACGTTAACGTATACGGTTCGTAGCTGTGCTCAAAATTTCGCTGAGAGGCGGGAGATTCGGGAGTAGTAGTACTGTGTTCGTCGTCTATTGACTTTTTTTTTGCTGTCATTGTGTGTTATCGTTACTATTATTATTTGTTATTGTTATTGTTTTTTTATTAAATTATTTTACATTTGACGTTGAAATAAAAAAAGAAACGAAACGAAAAAAAAACGATATTAAAGTTGAATAACTTCGAAGTAGTAGTGGCGCGCTCTGGCGGTGACTAAGTGAAAAGATAAGAAGAAAGAAAGGAGAAAAAACCAAGTGGAAGACGGAGAAGAATCGAAAGAGAAATACCTTGCGTTTCTGGTATTGTATAATCGCAAAACACGCACTGAACTCTGACGGCGGACAGCACGTTCGATCGCTCGCTCGCTCACTCGCAACGTAAAGAGGACTCTATCCAGACTAGACTCTCGCTCTTTTGGTGTAATCTCCCCCGTGGCAGAACATTGAGAGTAGAATAACCTTTGATGTGCTGATCAGTCATTAAAAAAAAAGTAGAATCGGGTTTTCGAAATTATTCGGCGTCGTCGGTTCGATACGATAAGAATCGATTCTCTGCCTTCGTACGGTCACTTGATCCCTATACATAGCGAGGAAAACTCCAAGTGTGAATCATTTTGTTTATAAACGCCATCCAAGTCGGAAATCCATACATCCACCTCCTAGCAGTGCGACATTGAAAGTTGGGGACCACGGAATAAATAATTGATAAGCCAGCGATCCAACAATTAGTTACTATTGGAATTGTTGTTGTTTTTTACGGTTTGTTTGAGTGGATTTTAGCTGTTATCAGCCAACTTTAATAATAATTTTTGGCGAAATCTGAAGTGCCTGCCTGTCACCTGTTTCTACTTCTGCTATCGCTTAACTAACTTCCCAAGTGAGTGTCTTTTTAATTATGCGTCATTTACTCGTGAGTGTTGTATTATCTAAATTGTATTTCATTTTTTTTGTTAACCGGCAAAGAAATTCGAACGTAACGTTTTCCGCATTTTTTTTGTGAATTTGTTTTGCTGAAAAAGAAAAATACCAAACCAATCATTTCTGATAAGTTGCAAGAACCACCGAACCCATGATTAATCATTCACAAATGCAGACAGTATTATTTTTGGGTACACATTTTGAAGGGGAAGTTTTCAATACAAAATAAAAACAAAAAAATATATTCCCGAAAAAATGACAAATTACATTGACTCGACTGAATTATCATTAAAAAAATAAACAAACAAAACACTTGGAACTGAACAACAACAAAATCGAAATCAACAACAACTGCAAAAAAGTGTCGGGTTATATCCATTACTATAATTTGGAATTTAATTTATTTGAAATTTGATATTATTCAAATTTTAAATCTTATTTCAACAATAGAATTCGAATTTTGGACAGAATTCTGGAATTGAGAAAAATGAGTTAAATAAAATTTTGAATTACTAATTCAAAAATGACATTGTAATTCGCTATAGATTTGAAATTTAAAATATTTCACTTGGAATTCAAAATTTCCAAAATTTCTAAAGAAAGAAATCAACGTTTTTAAACCCTCCACCATATTATAAAGGGTACATTGTCATTCCGTTTGTAAGTCCTCGAAATACCAATGGCAGACCTAGCAAAGTATATATATTCTGGATAAGCGTAAAATTCTAAGGCGATCTAGTTCCTCCAATAGAAAAAAAAATGTACTAAAAATACTTCGTATTTCCCCCATATAACGATATCTACCGATATTCGGTATTTTGATGGTTTTAGCGACGTCATTTGCCGGAATTGTTTCAAATTTCGTATTGGAAGATCTTAATGGGTACTACAACCTATAACAAAAAAATATTTATTTGGGTCAAGGTCTTCGTATAGCCCCCATATAACGGTACCCCTCAAAACCTGGTATTTGGACGAATTTGGCGACATTATTTAACGGAATTGTATCAAATTTCGTATTGGAAGATCTTAATAGGTACTACTTCGTATAGTCCCCATGTAACGGACCCCCGATATTCGGCATTTTGATGATTTTAGCCAAAATTTTCAATGGAATTACATGAAAATACATTTTACATTACTTTATCCCCTGGAAGAGAAATGTTGATAATTTTAGCGACGTTTTTCACCGGAATGGTTACAAATTTCGTATTGGAAGATTTTAATAGGCCCTACAAACTATGATAAAAAAATTTCGTATGCAGGTCTACATCTTCGTATAGGCCCCATATAACGGAACCTCCCGATATTCGGCATTTTGATGATTTTAGCGATATTTTTATCGGAATTGTTTGAAATTTCGTATTTGAAGTTCAGGTACTACAGCCAATGACAAAAAAATGCGTATGCAGGTCCACGTTTTTGCATAGTCTCCTTATGACGATACCTTCCGATATTCGGTATTTTGATAATTTTAACTACATTATTCAAATTTCATATTTGAAGTTCGTTATAGATACTTCAACTTAAGACAGAAAATTACCTATGCAGGTTCTTGACTTCGTGTAGCCTCCATATAACGGTACCTGGCGATATTCGGTATTTTGATGATTTTAGCGACATTTTTTTATTGTTTGAAATTTTGTATTTGAAGCTCAGGTACTACAGCCAATGACAAAAAATTGCGTATTCAAGTCCAAGCCTTCGTATAGACCCTATATAAAGATGCCTCCCGATATTCGGTATTTTTATGATTTTAGTGACATTTTTCAGCGGAATTGTTTCAAATTTGGTATTTGAAGTTCGTAATCGGTACTACAACCAATGATAACAAAATTGTTCATGCAGGTCCACGTCTTAGTATGGCCCCCATATAAAGATACGTCCCGATGTTCGGTCAGGTCTGGAGACATTATTTACCGGAATTGTTTCGAATTTCGTATTTAACGTTCGTAGTGGATACTACAGCCTGTGACAAAAAATTGCATATGCAGTTCCACGTCCTCGTATGGGCCCCATATCGGTTTTCTTTTGGGGCGGAATTTTGCGGCGATTTTTTTTTAAATTTTTCATGTCGCTTCCAAATGGGGGAGGTATTAAAAGCTCTTCCCGGGCGAACTTAGGTTCTTATTTACTTGTTTCTTCTAATCAGATTTAGCCATGCCCCTCCTTCTCTTGTAATAAGGCTATATTCGTAGGAATTGTTATAGACTGTTGAAATTTGGTACACATGCGTTATGGGTCTGATCAAGTTCGAAGATGGGTTAAATCGGACAACTTTTTCGTATAAAACAGTACCCCCTCATTTTAAACATTTTGACGACTTTCGGCACATTTTTAAACGGAATTGTCTGGAATTTGCTATTTATTGTTACGGGTTACTAGCCACTTTTGAAAAAAAAACTGTTAATATTAGGTCCACATCGTGGTATTATCTCCCATATAAAGGTACTCCATATTTTCGGTATTCTGATGACTTTCCTCAATTTTTTCAAAGCAATTGTCTGAAATTTTGCATTTGAAGTTTTTAATGGGTATCTAACTTCCTTATATCTAACTTCCTTATAGAAAAAATTTCGAAATAGGTCCTCATTTTGCCTTTGTATATATCATGTTGACCCGGCAGAACTTACTACTTGCATTTTTTTGCAATAAGTGTGATAATTTTTGGAAAATGTTGAAATGTACTCTAGGTACCATATATAGTGGGCTGAAGTGTTCCACCTAATCTATTATTGATAAAATATTGGAAAGTGCAAAACGTAAAGAAAATCTAACATTTATTTTCAATTCTATGCCAATAATTATAACTCAAAATCTTAACTTTTTGTGAGGGATATACCAGAAAGAGCGGGCAGATAAATCTGATATTTACACCAGATCTCTGGTTGAGACAAATATTTTGATATATCAAGTTTTAATAGAATCGCTTACTTGTTTCGCAAGCTATGAGAGATAAATATTTAAAATTGTGATTCTCTGTGGGGAAGGTACCACAAGGAGTGGATCGATGTCCACCATCTTCACACCATATCTTGTTGTCGTAGAAATATTGAGATGTGTGAAATTGAAAATGTGAAATTTGGACGTTTGTTTCGAATTTTGGTTTTGTTATTAACATTTTGACCCTTTTGAGGTACTTAATGGAGTGGGCCGATATCGTCAGTTTTCGATCTGGCCTTGCATTGATAAAAATATTGGGATTTGCAAAGTTTAAACAAATTTGAATGATCCCTTCTCTGTCTGTGGGATAAATTATTTCCTTTGATCTGATTTTGACCTTTTGTGGAGAGGTACCAGAACAGTACCCACTTTAGAACTTGTATTTTCCGAATTAAAGAGATTGACATTCGATTTTTCTTAAAAAAAATTATTATTCTATTAGCCGGCAAAAAGTCCTCGACCCATAAGAATTAAAAAGCGCTGCACAGTTAAATGTATTGCGCAATCAAGAAGAGATTTGCAGATTTTGCGTATTACCAGAATGTTGAATTAAATTAATTAATTAAAAAATTACCGAAAATACAGCTTTAATTTTTTGTGCAAGTTAACATTTAGTCGTCGTTGTATTTAAATTTGTTGGGGGATAATTTATTTCGATTTTATCAAATTTTTTTAACAATTTGCATTGTTAAAACTAAAGAGTGTCCAAATAATATGCAAATAAATAAATAGTAAATAATTTGATTTGGCCATGCCAAATTTCAAGAAGGTTCGAAATAATTAATTTTGGAACATAAATAAATACTGGAAATGACACCATCTGTTTAACTTTAGAGTGATTTATATTGTTTAGAGAATATATGAATTTTGTAACATTTTATTAATAATAATCGTTCATTGGACAATAAGAATTACGAAAAATTCTTTGGGTGACGTGTGTCGTGTGAGTTACACGTCTTCCGTGTACGTCTTCTTAATTTGTAAAAAAATTAATCTTTTATAGATTATTTATGGAAGTTGAATTATTAATTCCATTATTTTGCTATAAATGTTAAGGTAATCTTATCAATGTAATCTGACATATATAACAGCTGATAGGCAATGTGTAAAATAGCTTATCCTTTCAAAAAAAAAAAAAAAAAAAAAAAAATAAATAAATAAATAAATAAAAAAAATAAAAACTAAAGTAAAACATATTAGAAACTCGGTTTTCCAACATATTTCAATATTAATTTCTAATATTCCGGCACACTAATCGAATTTTTTTAATTAAAAAAAAAAAAAAAACAATTTTATTGATATTATGGTTTGTGTCGAAAGAAACTAAATGCGAACGAAAAAAAAAAAAAAAAAACAATTTAAATTTCTCTTTTCCAAAAAAATTTGAATTTATTTGAAGTGAGAGATCATACCTAAAGTTGATGTTTTTCGTTCGTATTCATTTGAGCTGATATCAGCCTTTATTTGCACAATGCACCTGAAAAAGGATAAAGTTTCTATGGGAGCTATATGCAAATCTTAGCCGATCTCAATAAAATTTGGCAAAGGTATTTTCCTGGTACCAAATATTGTTGTCGGATGCATATTACGAATGTGAGGGACTTAAAGACCAAATCGGATGAAACATATATATTGGAGCTATAGCTACATCTGAACCGATTTTCCCCAAATTTGATGTACTTGCTTCTAGACTGAATTCGGTCAGATGTGCAAAAATGCAGGTCATTCGGACTAATATTGGCCATTTGGTGCACAATTAACGAAATCGTTTGAAGATAAGAAAGAACTGCAACCAACTTCAGACTGTTGTCATATCTAAGCCACTCGTCCGACACCTGTTAAAATTTTCCCAGTGACAGCACATTATATTGTTTGCAGCCGTTCAAAAGCATTTTGGTAAGAATTTTCCAGAAAAAAAGTTATTCATGATGGAATTCAAGCGTGATAGTATGATTTCTTTATATTTGGCTAGAAAACCACAAGTGGCTACCGTTAGAGCACTCCAGCATTTAAATG